GACCCGGGGAACATAGGACCCGGGCAACATAGGACCCGGGGAAAAAAGGTACGCTCCCCCTGAAAGACTGCAAGCGTATTTGTAAGAATAAGTCAAGATATTAATGATTAATGATGCTTACAGATTCTTAGTAACATTTGCTTTCTCACAATATCTTTAATTCTAGGTAGAGTATATCAACCTGATGTTAAGTATAAAAGTTTCAAGTGTGTATCTGCAGGTCATAAAGTCATTGCTTAATTAAGACCGTTTTCTGTGCTGTATGTCGAACAATTTCTCGCCTCCGCCTACTTTAAATGACTTTTCGGGGGCATGTGGCAGTCTAACATAATCTACAGAATGTTAAGCTGCTTTTAATTGTATTACTGAGTCTTACCTGTGTAATGAGCGACCGGCAGATGCTCCAGAAGATGTTCCTCCAGTAATTGGAGGATTAGGAGGTATCATCACATGTTAATTAAGATAAGCTAATGCAGACACAATGTTTAAGGAAACAGCCAAGGAGACAAATCGCACATCTCTAAGTACTAATCATCCGCATTTACATAGACCTAATTATCTTATCTGAGCTGTCTTTGTTGGTCGGCATCCTCAAGCCTTTTTCTGCGTGAGATTCCAAATGGGACAGTGTTGGACAAGAGACAAGTAGTTTTACTACTACGGTTGATCTGTTTCTAACACTTTTCCCAATAAAGTCATACTGAGGATATAAGCTGGAGAAGAGAAAACATATGGAGAGCCTCTCACAATCTCCCGTACCAGAAAGCCTGCTGGTCTTGTCACCTGAAAGACCGTTTTCTGTGGGACTGAGCACGGCGGTGGGTTGAGGATGTTCATCTAGACAGATGATCTGTGAAATAAGCAACCGTAAAATGCTTTAACAACATACATCCATCTGGATTTACGGCATCAACCTTTGTTATTACGTGCAGGTCTTATGGTTTAGAGCATCTTTGTACAGAATGGGGCTTGACTCCCATAAAACAGTACAGGTATCAAAATAAATCTTTCTCAGCTACACTGAGGAATACCATTTTAGCTAGCTGTATCTTGGTAGCCCTCTGACCTTCTGTTGTTTTCCAGCAGGCAGAAAAATGCCCTGGCCTGTCTCAAAGCGCTGGCTGATATGTCGCTCCCCTGTGCACGGCGCCCTGCAACTCCTCCTGGGCCGATATATCTAAATGACATGGTTGGGTAGACACCTCATGCTGCCGAGAGGCTTCGCTAGCTACAGTAGTTGTTTATTGCCTTTGGGTTTTTGAGTCATCGCTAAGACTTTTTATAGTGCGTATACTTATACTGAGTTTGTGTTTATATCACACTGTAAGAATCAAAACCTGATTGTCCCCTAGTGTTGTCTCCAATCCGGGGACCAGAAGAGTGGTCTCCACAAACAGTCCATTTAGTGGGAGTTATGGTTAGGAAATAAGGCTGGTGGTGTTCTGTATCTGGATCTGTCATCAAATCCCATAAAAGGACCAGAACCAACAATGAATTGATCCATCCAAACTATCATATAACCTTTTCCTCTGTGCCACAGACCATGGTTCCCAACCCTTTTCCTCAAGGGACCCCTTTTCTATCATTTAATAAACCGACTACCCCTGGATAAGTGGCATGTTTTATGGATATTTCATATTATATTCAATGCATAACAATAATAGCAACGACTGTTAAACTGAACAATGAACCCAAACAGTGAACACAATAACAGCAGGAGGTTTGAATAAAAAGAGCAATTTAGATGAATTTTGCTCTTGTTAACTCTGTGGTTGTTTTTTTAATCCTAAATTATACTAAAGAAAAGTATTCTTGTATCTTTTAAAATCAAAATGTCCTTGCGACCTCCCGTGAAGCTTTGGCGCTCCTGATGGGTTGGAAACCAGTGCCACAGTCTTCCATTGTTAACCATTAAAAACACATGAGTGAGCCACACCGCTGCGCTGGGTGACATTTTCCTTTATTTTTCACTTCATTGTAGTCACACCCACATACACGGTCTGAATAAATATTCACTGGAGCACCAAATGTGTATTAGTCCTCAGCTAAAAATAGTCCCCAACGAATGCACTATTTACTCCTATTTCAGTAACATTTGCTAAAAAACTTTATTTGTGACCCATTTTTGAAAGAGATTGCCACTGGCAGGTAGGGAAATGATAAAATATTGAGAGATGCACAAACACGTGACAGGTTTTTGGTGTTTTCGTAGAATTTATTGAAAAAACGATTAGAATTAGGTTGAGGTCAAGACTGAGGTAAAGGGCTGCGCCACATGTAGTCAATAAATAGCCCTTACAAGGCTACCGAGACAGATCGCTGTGTGTGTGTGTGTGTGTGTGCTCTGGTGTTTGTCTTTGTGGTGCACTGTTCAGGTGGGAGATTGTTTTTACAAGACACAGATTTGGCACAAGGGTTTTGTTTATGAACAATGTTGTCTTTGGTTCCCTGCGGCTCCATCTGTACAAATTGGTCAGACCTGAATGTCAAGCTGACCTTGTCAGCTGCTCCTTCGCTCCTCTGCGACAGCGTGTTTGTGCGTGTTTAGTTGCTGTAAAACTACTGTGAAGTGATTTAAAAATGAATTCAAAAGAAGCAACATAAATCAGGCAGCGAATAATCATTTGGAAATTGCAAATACGGACCCAGCACATTAGGACCACAGGGAGCACAGCCAACCATTAGTGAGAGTTTGTTGGTCTCACATCATCAATTTAATTAAAAATCCATTTAAGATGGAGGCTTGGGGAAGGTTTTTCTTTTCCTTTCAAGGTAGTCAAGACTTCAAGACCAACAAAAATGAGTCTTGAGTTAGCATGCTCCAAGAATGGAAGTGAATGTAACCATTATATCTCCCATACTACATCCCAGCAGATATGAACACATGTCTAAGACCGGAGCCCAAGGGGGCTCTCTAATGGTCTGCGCTGCTCAGTTGCTACCTGAAGAGGTGGAAGCCACCGTCGATGGTCACAGAAAGAGAGTTGCAGTGTTTTAATTACACAGGGCCCTCCATC